CAACTGGAGCTCAGAGGGAGGGCCGGGGACTCTGGATGAGGGTCCGGGACCGAGGACAGGACCAGAGGGTGCGCTGCAGCCGTAGGTAGTGCGGGCAGACGCGCGGGAGAACTTCCCACCCACGTGCTGCGCCATTCTCCCAATTCCGCAGCCTCGCTCTACACCAGTGGTGCCCAGCGCTCGCGCTCCAACTCCTTCGGGGAGCGCCCGGGCGGGGCAAGCGGCGGGGGCGGCGGCAGCGGGGGCACCCGGAGAGTCCGCGCCCTCGTCTCCCACTCGGAGGGCGCCAACCACACGCTGTTGCGCTTCTCGGCCGGAGATGTCGTGGAGGTGCTGGTGCCTGAGGCCCAGAACGGCTGGCTCTACGGCAAGCTGGAGGGCTCATCCACGTGAGTAGGAGCCGGGAGGCGCAGGGCGGGCTGGAAGGAGGACCCGCAGGCCTGAACTTCAACCCCGACTGAGGCGTCTTCTGCTTCCCCGCAGCCCCGGCCACCTCTCCCCTTCTCCCTCCCACTGCCGTCTCATGTCCCTCATCCACTCAGTGCGAGTAGGAAGCGCCGCCTTGCCGAGCTCGGGGCGGGTGGTACAGAACAGGGAGTGGGAAACCTCGTTACTTGCGTACCGCCATGCACCGGGCACCGGGAGGGATGGGGCAGCGCCCCGCCCCCCTCCTCCCGGCCCTGCCCCAGGGGAGTCAGCCAAAGCCAAGCCTGATGGAGGGACGGGCAGGCCGCCCCAGGCCACCGGGAGGCAGCGCTGGGACCTTGCAGGCTCTGCCCACAGCCCTGCGTGGTGGAAACCCCTGAAGAGCCTAAACTGGCCTGTTTCCAACACTGCGAGTGGACGGGAATGGAGAGTGCGTTGTGGTCACCAGCAAGCCTGGGGGGCGGAGAGCCGGGGTTGGCGGCCGAAAGGGGAGTGAGTGGAGATCACTCTTTCTGCTGGAGGAAAAGGGGGAGGCGGGAGTCTGCCGGAGCCAGGCAGCGCCTCCCCCGCCCCCGCAGGGCTTCATGGACAGGAAACATTGGTGGGGCCCACTCCCACTCCTGCTAGTGGAGAAGGAATGAAGGAGAGGAGCAGGGGCGTGAATGAGCGATGCACAGAGGGCAGAGTCCCCGCATGCGAGGGGGCCATGTGGGTTGGGGATGGCGGACAGGAGGACAGAGGAGAGGATGGTCTTGGGTGGGGGTGCATGCTCGTGCGAGTGGGCGGGCAGGTGAGTGGATGGGTGGTTGGGGACGTAGGAGGTGCAGATGGGGGGGCAACGCATAAGCTGATGGGTGACTAGAGTGGCTTGGTCGGTGGCGGCAGGCAGTGAGCAGCTGGTGATGGACAGAGTAGTGGGTCCACAGTGGAGCAGTGGCCCATGGGTGGTTGCCCACGTGGATCATGGATGGCTGAGTGGACGGACCCATGGTGGCGTGGACAAGATGATACAGTGAGGCACAGAGGTGTGTGGATAGCTGAGTGGATGGCGGGAACTACATGGACCAGGAGTGGAAGGGAGGATGGGCTGGGGGGGGCAGAGGCTCAGGGCAGGAATGGCAGAAACCCCTGTTTTGCAAAGGACAGCAGGGTGCCGCCCCCAACAGGAGTGTTCCAAGCTTTCTGGGGACCCGGATAAGTGAAATCTAGCCCCCGGCTCCCCGACCACACTCCTGGGACTTCGTCACCTCTCCCGTGGCCCATAGGTCAGGGGAACTTGCGATGACAAGTCTTAGCCTAGGCGGCAGGTCTTGGTGAAAACACAGTCGGCAGGACTGTAGTGGTCCCCTTCCCTCGGCTGGGGTCGGAGTAGATCCCGTCCCCTCCACGTGAGGGCGCTGTGACTGGGCCCTGGTGTCCGAGGCGGGGGCTTTTCGGAGGATGTTCGCCCAGTTCTGCCCAAATCTGGCGGGTTCTCTGGAGCCTGAAAAGACGCAGGGATATGGATCGTACTGCCTCTCCCTCAACCCCGGCCGCTTGCAGCTGCGGTGACCAGCTTCCAGCCAGGCAGAGGCCCCAGAAGCAGGGTACCCGGGACCCCAGGACCAAGGGCAGCAGCTGGGTTGAGAGGGGAAATGCACTGGCTTGGGAGTCAGGCCCCCGGTCCCGGGCACCTCTCCCTCTGGCCTCCTGCTGTTGCCTGCGGACCCTGCCCTTCGCTGTCACCCTGGTGGGCATGTCTGTGGGTCCATCTTCCTGCCAGGCTGGGAGCCTCTTGGGAGCCACAGGACTGGATCTGGCTTTCGGGGCCCCAGCAGGCGGGTGCCGAGTGAGCAGGGGCTGAAGTGGCGGCCCCAGACCTGGGACACACCGCTTTCCTCCTCGGGCCTCCAGACCCTCCTCTTAAGGAGCCCCAGCCCCTGGTGGAACATGAGGCTGGATTGGTGGCCTTGGACACCGAGAAAGGCCTCCTTCAAGGGATTAAAAGAGTCCTTCTCGGCAAAGCCCCAGAGGCCCCCCCTCCCCTTACACGTGGTGTGGGGCCCCTGCTGGTGGGCTTCTCGCTGAGGGACCCTCTGCTTCCGCCCCACAGGAGCGGCTGGTTCCCTGAGGCCTATGTGAAGCCATTGGAGGAGGTGCCCGTGAACCCCATGAATGTCTTGAATCCTGTGACCTCCATGAACCCCATGAACGCCTTGAACCCGGTGACCTCCATGAACCCCATGAACGCCTTGAACCCAGTGACCTCCATGAACCCCATGAACGCCTTGAACCCAGTGACCTCCATGAACCCCATGAACGCCTTGAACCCAGTGACCTCCATGAACCCCATGAACGCCTTGAACCCAGTGACCTCCATGAACCCCATGAGCCCCATGAATGAGCTACCTTCCAGGTACCTGGGTGGTAGAGTTGGGGCAGGGGTGGGGACTCCAGTGGGGGTGGTCCCCCGACCTGGAGGGCATCTGTGAGTGGCAGTCCTGAGTGGGCCCCGCCCCCATTGGCTGCTGGAGAAAGGGTCCCCCCTGTCACCCCGGTGCGGACGAGCTGACTCCTCCCGCCTGTTCTCCGGACTCAGGTCCTATCCGCTCCGGGGCAGCCACAGTCTAGACGACCTCCTGGACCGGCCAGGCAGCCCCACGGCGCCCTCAGAGTGCTGGGACGGCCGGCCCCGCTCCCGGACCCCCAGCCGCGCCCCCAGCCCCGCACCCACACCCTTGCCGGGCAGCCGCCGCAGTAGCATGGGCAGCATGGGGGTGGCCAGCGACGTCAAGGTGAGCCCTCTCCCCTGGGCTACCTCAGCCCTGGGGTCGGCCGGTGGGCAGGGAGACCGGAGACCAGGTAACCCTCTCCGCTTTGCCACTGTGCCTGGTGGGGGCCCTGCACCCACCGCAGTCCTCCCAGCTGTGCAGGGCAGGGTGGGTGGGCCTCTGCCTTGGGTGGTAGGTGGGGGACGTGTTCACCTCAGGACCTAGAGCCCCGGGGGTCCTGCTGGGAGCCCTGGGAGGGGCCTGTGCTCCCTGCTTCCTGAGGGAATGCCCACCCAGGGGCCTGAGGTTGAGCCTGGGCTGGGGGGGTGGGATTGAGGGGGGCACAGGGAACACCTCCCCATGGGGTCCCCCCAGCCTTGTCTGGGGGCCCTGGCTGGCCCTGGAGGTGGCGTTCTGGCCCAGAAGCTTCTCGAGTCTGAAACCCATGAAAGTCTGGGCTTCAGGACACCGGGGCCACACGTCCCAGGAGCCTGGCACCGCAGGGACCTCTAGTCCAGTCCTCTGCCCCCCTAGGAGAGGGGGCGGGAGGGGCAGGAGCTTGCTTGTCCCCCCCCAAACTTGGCCCTCCCTGCTCCCACCGCAGAAACTCATGTCCTGGGAGCAGCACCCGCCAGAGCTCTTCCCTCCGTGAGTCCTGGGGCGGGACGCGATGGGGAGGGGTGGGGGGGGGACCAGACAGAAGGGGGGCTCAGGGCCAGGGGCCATGCTCAGTGGAGGGAGGTAACTCGGAGGCAAAGATGAGCGGAGGTGACGTGCTGTGGACAGGAGGCGGGGTGGACACCTGGCTCAGGGGGCCAGCTGGAGACGTGGGCCCTCTGCTTGACCTCCTCCCACAGGGGCACAAACCCCTTTGCCACCGTCAAGCTGCGGCCCACTGTCACCAATGACCGCTCTGCGCCCCTCATCCGCTGAGGTGCCTTCCTCCACCGGGTGTGAGGTCGCCCCGCCCCCTGCCCAGGGGCTGCCCGGAGCTGGCCCAGGCTGCAGCAGCGGCTGAGGTGGCAGCAGCAGCAGTGGATCCAGAAGCTGGGGCCCTGACACTGAGGGTGGCGCCCTTCCCTTGTCTGTGACCCCAGCCTGAGCAGCCCCAGGGGCCCTGGTGCAGGGTCTGGGGCCTTCCAAATAAAGCTGGCAGAGTGGGGGGCCGAGCCTTCCTTCCCCTCCTGCCTCAGGGGCCCCGGGACTCTCCCTGGGGGCCTGCCTCACGCCCCCACCTCTCTCCCCTTCCCCACCACAGCGGGCGGAGTCCCTCACACTCCCCTCCTCCGCCCCATACCCATCCCATTGGACTTTTGTAAACAATGAGAAATAAAGCAAGTGGACGTGGCAATGGAACTGGTGGTCTCTGATTTGGGGGACTGGGTGGGATGGGGGTGGAGCGCTCCTGCTGGAGAACGGGGTCGGGGTCGGGAGCTCCTGAAGGTCCCTGGCAGGTGCCCGGGAGGCGTCACTTGCTCTAGCCCTTCACAACCCTCATTTCAAGCAAGTCTTTAGGTTCACCCTAAACCCCTCACCTCTGCCCCCCACCTCCGGCCCCCGGGAGTGGATCCCTCTCCGGAGGAGGAGGGGTGGCAGTGGCCCAGGTCCAGGACCCTCAGCAAGTCACCTCCGGTGGCCTGGACACAGCACCCTTTGTTCTGGCCCTGGCTGCCCCTCGGCCCCAGGCCCCCCCCACCCGGATTAGCCTTATCCAAGGAGAAGCCACCGAGGCCCTTCTGGGAATGTGGCTGGGGGTGGGCGGCAGGCGAGGACCTGAGATGATTAGGGACCTTGGGGTCTCCAGGGCAGGGCTCTGCTCCTGGCACCAGGGGGAGCCCCGGGGAAGGACCCTGTGTGTCCCCCGGAGGCCCCATATCCATCGGGGCTCTGCGTGGGCGGCCTGAGGCCCCAAGGTTGGTCTCTACTCTGTCCCTTCTCCCCTCCCAGGCAAAAGCCTCTTACAGGGGCTGGGGGAGGGGACCTGCTCTAAGCCCCAGGCCAGGGAAGTGAGTCAGGGTCAAAGCCAGGCCAGCGGCGGATTCACAAGCAAGACCTAGAGTCTTCGCCTGCGACCCCCACCAGGCGAGGTTCAGGGGCAGGGCAGCGGTGAGCCAGCCCTCCCTGCAGGCCTCGGATGTGAGGCTGGACACCCAAACCCACGGGACGGCTCTGGTGAGTGTGGAGTGGGGGCCGCCAGGGACCACCCTCTTGTCCCAGGATGAGAGGACAACAGCAGGAAGTGCCAGAACCGGCCCTGTGGGAAGGGGGGAGTCCCAGACCCCCCACAGGTCCTTGCCATTGCCCAACGCCAAGATCCCAGGCCACAGTGGGCTCGGGAGGGAGGGAGGCTCCTGCCCAGCTGTGGGCTGGCCCACCCTCCTCGTCCACTCGGAGGGCACCGGGGCTGTGGCGTGAAGCCCCGGAGCTGCTTTCCCCACGAGTAGGGGTTGGGGAGGCCCTTAGCAGTTTAGAGGACACTGTCCTGGGGCCCCTTCAAAGGCCCCCTCTGTCCAGCAGGGGCCTGAGCTCCGACCCCACCTGAAGATTCCCTGCTGGCCTGACCAATCTCTCATCTCACAGGTGGGGACACAGGCTCCTCGAGGGGAGGGGCCCGTGCAAGCGACAGAGCCAATCCACAGCTGAGCTGGGAGGAATCGGAGCTCACAGCCCCCTTGGCATCTAAGTCAAGGCGAATGCTGTTATAAACATGCTCTCGTTTCCCCCATAACATTCTAACAACGCCGATTGAATGTTACTTCCGATCATTGGGAGAAATTAGGGACATGCCACAAGGCCCATTTTGTGACCAGCGAGTGCCTGTGTCCTCCCTCCCCCACCTCTGCTTCTTTGTCCAGAGACCCTCGACATGCACACTGGGGGCACTGGGGGCTCCCACCCACACCTCCGGGCACACCCAGCACCCCTCTCCTGCACCCACTAGGACCTGGAGAGCAAGGGGGGGGCCCCCAGAGGAAGCCTTCCTAGAGTCAAGACTCAGGTGGCAACAATCCTGTTACTGGCCCCCCATCCTTCATTGGAGAAGGGGATTTGGGGTGAGGTTCATACCCTGTTTCTCCTCCTGGCTTCATCCCCTGAGCAGGGCTCCCAGGGGGTAGGCCCTTGCCTCAGTTTCCCCAGGCTGGGTCTCCATCCCCCTTCCTTGTCTGGGTTCCTTGCCCCTCCCTTCTTGCCTCCTCTTCCTCCAGCAGAGACAGTGGCGATGGGCGCTGGCGGCCCCCGGCGGGGCACGGGTCCTCCGGACGGCGGCTGGGGCTGGGTGGTGCTGGGCGCCTGCTTCATAGTCACCGGTTTCGCCTACGGCTTCCCCAAGGCCGTGAGCGTCTTCTTCCGTGCGCTCATGCGCGACTTCGGAGCCGGCTACAGCGACACAGCTTGGGTGTCTTCCATCATGCTTGCCATGCTCTACGGCACCGGTCAGCGCCCCCACCCCCGCACCCCAGGACTTCGGTGGGTGGGTTAGGGGCCAGGAGATGCCTGATGCCCAGGGCATCCACGGGGCTCCTTGGGACGGGCACGGAACCCCCTTTCTTCCTGTGGAAACTCTGGCACCAGAGAGGGAAGGGACAGCGGCCAGAGCTGGGGCCGCACACAGGTGGCTGTCCTTGCAAGCTTGGCTAACACTAGGGTCCCACCATTCCTGCCCAAACCCCACACCTGCCTATGTTCCAGGTGGGGGAACGGAGATCTCAAAGAGATTCACCTGTGGGAACAGGGGCAGTGCCAGAGTTGACCTGGCCAGGCAGCCCAGGGTGGGGATGAGGAGTAGGGGAGCCCGGGGAGCAAGGCAGCCCGCGCCGGGGTCCCAGGCTGTGAAGATCAAAGGGAGGGGGTGTCTGCGCCTTCTGCTTTGCGTGCTGTGTCCTCACAAGGGGCGGGGAGGGGGGCTCTGGGCCAGGACAGGCTCCTCTCCCTGAGTCCCGCACAGGGCACCGTCTCCTTGGTTTGTCCCACCCAAGCAGTGTGGCCCTAGCCAAACACTGCCCTCCAAGTCCCTGAACCAGGAGTGGCCTTATCCCTTTGAGCGTCTTCCAGGGCTGGGAGGTGCAGAGCCTGGAGTGTCCGCGGGACAGGAGAGTGGAGCAGCCCAAGTGGTGACTCTGCTCTGCCCACAGGCCCAGTGTCCAGCATCCTCGTGACCCGCTTTGGCTGTCGCCCGGTGATGCTGGTGGGTGGGCTGTTGGCCTCAGCGGGCATGGTCCTAGCATCCTTCGCCACGCGCCTGCTGGAGCTATACCTGACAGCTGGCGTGCTGACAGGTGAGGGCGCACGCGGCCTTCCTCCCCTGTGAGGCTGTGGGTGGGGATGGGAGTCCCTGCTGCTAGAACTCCAGTCCTCAGTTTCCCCACATGGAACTGTCCTCCAAGTCCCTCTGCTCCGTTCCCGGGGGGCTCTGTCCGCTCCCTCTTGCTATGAAGTGGGGGCCCCCTGGGGAGCCTGGCACGGCGCTGCCTCGCCCGCAGGCCTGGGCTTGGCCCTCAACTTCCAGCCGTCGCTCATCATGCTGGGGCTCTACTTCGATCGGCGGCGGCCTCTAGCCAACGGGCTGGCGGCGGCGGGCAGCCCCGTGTTCCTGTCGGCGCTCTCGCCGCTGGGCCAGCAGCTGCTGGAGCACTTCGGCTGGCGCGGCGGCTTCCTGCTGCTTGGCGGCCTCCTGCTGCACTGCTGCGCTTGCGGCGCAGTCATGCGGCCGCCGCCGGGGCCCGGCCCTCCTCCCCGCACCGGCGCAGCTCCAGGGGAGGCGGACGCGGACGCGGACCGCAAGGGGCTGAGGCTGAGCACGGCGCCCCCTGGCGGCAAGACTCGCCGACGCCTGCTGGACGTGACCGTGTGCGCCGACCGCACCTTTGCGGTGTACGCCGTCACCAAGTTCCTGATGGCGCTGGGGCTCTTCGTGCCCGCCATCCTGTTGGTGAACTACGCCAAGGACGCGGGCGTGCCTGACGCGGACGCCGCTTTCCTACTCTCCATCGTGGGCTTCGTAGACATCGTGGCGCGGCCGGCGTGCGGCGCTCTCGCCGGCCTGGCGCGTCTGCGACCGCACGTCGCCTACCTGTTCAGCCTCGCCCTGCTGGCCAACGGGATCACGGACCTGAGCAGCGCGCGCGCGCGCTCCTATGGCGCCCTCGTCGCCTTCTGCGTCGCATTCGGCCTCTCCTACGGCATGGTGGGCGCGCTGCAGTTCGAGGTGCTCATGGCCGCGGTGGGCGCCCACCGCTTCCCCAGCGCGCTGGGCCTGGTGCTGCTCATCGAGGCCGTGGCCGTGCTCATCGGGCCGCCTTCTGCCGGTGCGTGCCCCGCAGGAGGAGGGGTTGGCGTGGTGTCGTGCCCCCAAGCCCGAGGGAAGCCCCCTTCCTGTAAAATGGAACTCACAGGGGTGACCCCGCGGAAGAGACAGCCTGGTGGGATGGACTCCCCTTCACACGGCCTGTTAGCCCCTCCTCCAAACCAGTTCCCCCAGCTCCGGGAGGGGATGGAAAAGACAGAAAAAGTGCCAGGAAGAACCCAACACTGACAGCTGCTGGCTCGCTGGGTCGTCTCCAGCCGCTGGCGCGAGTACAAATGCTTACTCTCCGTTTGCAGATGGGGAAACTGAGGCACGGAGGCCTAACGCAAGTGGAGCCCTGCCCAGTGCTAAATGCCCACCCCTCCTCTGAGTGCTTTAATCTCCCTGCTTCCCGCAGTGACTGGGGCAGGAGCAGTGTCCTGGGGGGAGCAGCCCCGGGGCCAGGAGCAGCGTTTGGGTGCTCCGTGTGATCGGTGGGGGACGAGGGGCGCCAGGTTCTTCCCTCAGCACTGTGCACTCATCACCTCTTCAGAAATCATCCTGATGAGGGTGGTCCGGGAGGGCTTCCTGCAGGTGTTTGGGGGTAGTGTTTCTACACAAGAGTTAGGACTGGAAAGATGGGGTGGGGGACATCGGGGTCTTCCTGGGCTGTCAGTGACCCCTGAAACAGCGGGAGGCCTGCCTGTCAGCAGGAGGGAGCCGAGGCCTGCTGTGGCGCGCAGCTCCTTTGCTGGAGCCTGCCTGCCCCTGGGATGCACCTGGGTGAGCGGACCGTCCTTCCAGGTGGGCTGGGTGAGTGCCCCCACCTGGCTGGGCCGTCGCATCTGACCCAGTGGGAACCACAAAGCCCCTGAACCTGCTGTGGGAGGCTCCAGAGCTCACCACCAAAGGCCACAAACCAGTCCCCCACCCCCAGAAGCTCAGGGACCCGTTTCATTTTCCGGTGTACCTCCAGGGTGGATCAAATAGGCCGAGATGGCGCAAGGGCTGTGCGTGGGTGGGGCAGGGGCCAGGAAGACAAGCCTGGTGGCCTGACGCTCAGCAGGCTCAGGGGCGCAGCTGGCTCAGGGGTCACTGGGGCATGTCTCATGGCCTCAGAGGTGCAGAGGGGCCCAGCTCTGTCTGGACAGCCCCAAGGATGCCCCCAAGGGGAGCCCTGAAGGAGCCTCACTTCAGGGGAGGGTATTTGCAGTTACTGTAAAAGGTTTTCCCGAGAGTTACAGTCAGAAGCGTGTGTGGGGCAGAAACTTGGAAGATGGAGGAGGAAACAGGAGTAACAACCCCCCACACGTGGCCCCGGCCCGCTGAGCTCCGTGGCGGCTGGGCCTCGGGGAGGGGCTGGGGGTGGGGAGAGCACAGAAGGGCCCCTAAAGATGAGGCGGAAAGAGCAAGGGTTGGAGTCCCCAGGAGAGGGGGTGAGCCTGGTGCCACCCCGACTGCCCCCAGCTGGACAACGCTCAGGGCCCAGGTGGGGGGTGAGTCTGAGGGCAGAGGGGGCCTGTAAGCTATAAGGTGCTGCCTGGCCAAAGGCCCCATGTCGCTTCAGAAACCGAGGTCCAGGGAAGTGAAGTGACATTTTTAGTCTCAAATGGCAGAACCTGTGTGGGACCGTGTCTCTGTAAAGTGGGGACAAAGTCTGGGGCATGCTGAATGTCTCAACCAAGAGCCCCACTGAGTCTAGGGAGCTGCCCTTTACCTGAGGTTTCAGGGTGGGTGGGGGGTGGGAGGCACCCACGTGCCCTTACCTCCCCTTCCCCACCCCAGGTCGCCTGGTGGACATGCTGAAGAACTACGAGATCATCTTCTACATGGCTGGCTCTGAGGTGGTCCTAGCTGGGGTCTTCATGGCTGTGGCCACCAACTGTTGCCTGCACCGCTCTCGGGACTCACCCCCCAGCCCAGGCAGCGAGGGCGAGGCCAGTGACAACGAGGATGCTGAAGCCGAAGGCGACTCTGAGCCCCTGCCCACCCGGGAGCCCAGTGACGCGGAGGCGCTGGAGGTGCCAAGCCCCGTGGCTGGGCCCTCGGAGCCCGAGGTGGAGGCAGAACCAGAGCCAGAGCCGGCGCCCAAGTCTGCGTAGCGCAGGGGCCGAAGCGGGGTGGCCGTGACTTCAGCAGCAGGAGCGCTTCCCCTCCCAGAGCCCCCGCTGTTTCCAGAGGGCCTGGCACGATGGGGACCCCTGGGGTCCAGGGGGGAGCTTCCCCCCTCACCTGCCCAGCAGGCCATGGCCAGGCCCTGCCCCCCCCCCCCCCCCCGGGCCCCAGAGAAGCTGCTGTGCCCAGACAGGGTCTGAGCCCCATGAAGCTCCAGTTCATAAAGCTCAGCTGAAAGACAGGCTCTGTCCCAGTGCCTCCGACCTGGGGAGGGGGACGGGTAGGAGGGAGCCTGAGGGGCTCTCCCAGGGCCCTCTGCGCCCGCAGGTGCTGGGGGAGGGAGGGAAGAGATGGGGGCGGGCGTTCCCAGGCTGGCGGCACCTGCCCACTCGGATGGGGGCTGCTTGCAGGGAGGGACTCGGACCCATCTGAGAGAGCAAGCGTGGGTCTGGGGTGACGACGGGGGTTGGAGCCTGACCTTGTGCCACCGGCTCTGTTCCCATGCTGGGGAGTGACAGTAAATGACCCCATCCTGTGCGCCCTGAAGCTTGAGGCCAGTGCCTCCCAAGGGGGACCCTCTCTCCAGAGTACAGCTCCGGAGTCCTGAGGTCTTTGCCCTGGACACGGGTCCCAGTGGGGACCAAAGGGGTTCCGGGAGCTGACCCCACACCCGATTCACTCATGGGGCGTCTGCTCTTGCCCTTCGATGGCTGACCTCTTACACGTCGACCCAGGGCAGGAGCCCCAGGCCTCACCCCACCAGGGAAGATACGAATCGAGTTCCTCTCTGTACTTACCCACACACCCGGCACCCCCTCCCTGGCCTCCTTGCCTCCAAACCTTGAGTGTGGGCAGCAGGCTTCGTCCAGCCCAGACCCTGCTCCATCCAGCCACACCCGCCCACAGAGGAGCCCACCCCACGAGGGACCCCTCCCTGCTGATGGCCTTTCTCCAGCTGGGCCGCAGGAAGGCAAGGGCGCCCCTGCAGATGGCTGGCCCACTGACCCTGCTCCTGTGGTTCCCCCGTGCACTAGAGCTGTGACCGCGTCTTACATAACAAACACACAGAGTGCTGACCTCATGCCAGGCTCTGGCCCAGCCCTTCACAAATGATGGCTCATCTGACCCTCCTCACGACTAGCGAGGTAGGTCCCGTTATTAGCCATTCTCACGGACAGAGAAACCAAGGCACAGGGAAGTCAAGGAACGGTCCAGTCACAGGTGGTGACTGAACTCGGGCTCCCAGTTCTGGTCTGGACCTTGGGCCTTGCTTCGGGCTGACCACTTGGGGGGCCCACATGGCCCGCCTCCCCCACGACCCCAGGCCCACCTGACACTCCGGTTCAGGTCCCCGCCCATGTAATTCACTGCCATCAGGGCACTTTGAGATTCAATAGGGCTTGGCGGTGGGGGGAAGGGGGGGACTATAAGGGGACTAAATGGTAACAGAAAAAAAACACAAAGGTTTTTAAAAAAGTGAGCAGGGCCACTGTCAGTAATGACATTGGGACCCCAGGTGAGGACTGGACTGTGCAGGCAAGGCAGGACGCACGGTCACCCGGCTTCTTCTGCTCTTCGAGGACACGGACTGTGAGGTGCTGCTGGCCCCTGGCTGCCCCCACAGCCCCAGCAGAGGGGTGCCCCCAGAAGGGCAGGGCCCCCTCACCATTCGCCCACTGGGGGCCTCGGTCCTCCTGGCCCGGTGTCTGTCCTACTCACCCCCAACCAGGGTTTAGTGCACGGGGAGGAGCCCTGAAGGATGAAGGGGAGACAGATATAAAGACTCCGCTGCCGAGCAGAAGGCTGGGGGGGGGGCAGGAGGAGTCGTCTTTGGACCCGACAGGTGTGCAGTCAAACGCACCCATCCCTAGGGCCAGCCTGGCCTGGGGCCTCACTGTCCCATCTCTGAACGGGGACAGTGATGCCAATGGGCAGAGCTGCTTCGAGGGTGAGGAACAGTGAGTAGAGCATGAGATCGGCGGGAAACCCTGTGCCCACCTGCCCTGCGAGCGATCGGGGCTGAAAAAAGAGGCGGGCCTGAGGCCGCTGCAGAGCCTGGCGCCGTCTGGGTTTGTATTTATTCGATGCAGGCCCAGCGCCCAGCCCTTTCCCAGGAAAGTGGCTGAACCAGGAGAGTAAAATAAATAAAGGCCACCGAGGTGTGAGTGTGGGCTGGGGCGGGGCCAGGGTGTACACGAGCCTGGGGCCCCGCCTCGGCTGTCCGACCCGCCCGACTCCGGCAGACTCCAGGTGGCGCCAGCGGAGGCGCCCAGGGGTGGGTCCTGGACTTCCTGCCAGCGCCAGCCCCTCCTCCTTCCTGCCCTCCCTTTCCTAGGGCAGGTCCAGAGACCAAGCTCCTGTTCTGTCTGGGGAGAGGGGGAGGAAGATGGAGGGGCTGGCGACCAAGTCCGAGGTCACAGCCCGGGTCTGCCCTGCTGGGACAGGGGAGCAGGCGGGCGGGCACCCCAAGCCAGCAGACCTTCATGCACGGCTCAGCCTCCGCTCCTGGCTGTTGCCCTCCCGCTCTCCCTACCCCCAGATCCACACTGCAGGGCACACTCAGGAGTCACACCAGCTTCCAGCCTTGTCCAGGGGCCCGGCAGCCCCTCGCACATCCCTGGTCGACTCCCTGGCTGCAGGGTCCTCCTCCTCTTCCTCCTCCTCCTCCCCATCAGTGAACTCGTCCTGGCTGAGGCCGTATGCCAGCGTGGTGTGGGCCAGGTCCACCTCTATAGGGAAGACGTCGGCGCCGCGCAGTACGGCGTAGCAGTCATTGTAGTACTTGGACATGGTGGACACGAAGCGTTGCAGCTGGAACACGATGTCCTGGACTGGGGCGGGCGGGGGGAGGGGCGCCGGTGGGCCGGGGCTGCCTGCCTTGCGGAGCAGACCCTCCATACCTTCCTGGACCCGCCTCCGTACCCGGGGCTTCCCCTCAGGCACCTCCCTGGCCCTCAAACCCAGGAAGTGAGCAAAGCAAGGGCTGCCCAGTCCTACACAGAACCCGGGTCTCTATTCCAGCTGAGGGAAGAGAGGTGCCCCGCCAGGGCGAAAGGGCTGTGGACTGCACCCCAGGGAGTCCGTCCCACCCAGGCCAGGCTGGGTCAGACCCAGAGCACCGCACTGCCCGGCTAGGCCCTGGGCCCGAGTGAGTGCTCTTCCCTTCTGGGCCCCCAATTTCCCAGCTCTGAAGTGGGGAGATGGTGCCCACCCCGCCACCCCAAGGACAGCAGGTGGACTCACTGGGGTAGGCGTGACCACGGCCCCGGCGCACCCCCAGGGCTCTCACCGTGCTTCTGATCCAGCAGCTCCATCTTCTCCAGCACGTCCTTGCGCATCTGCGAAAAGCGAGCGCGCGCCTCCTGGCGGCAGCGCAGGATCAAGCGGTACTCGTAGTTGCCGGTGCTCACGCGGTAAAGGGGCTCCCCGAGGGCCTAGGGCAGGCGGGTGGTGGGCACGTCAGGGTCGGGGAAGAAGGGGGGGGCGGAGCACGTCAGGGACGCGGGGCGGGCTCTGCTCTGGGACTGAAGGGGTGGGGGCAGGAAGGCTCACGCCCCGCCCCATTCAACTCTTCTCTGGCTCCCAGGGTCCCTCACCTCTGAGACGCCAGGGATTGCTGGAAACATTTACACGTTTGTGGAAAAACAAAAACCCTTCCCGCGTTAAATAAATGACCACTTAGTCATAAGATGGATCCTGGTATCAAAAGTAGTGCAAATTAAGAATAAAAAAGGCCTCTTAGGGGAGCGGAAAGTCGGTTTTTCCCTATAAGAACCTCACAAAGTCAGGGGTGGGGCTCGGGCAGCTGTTCTGGGAGTGGGCACAGGGCCGGTCCCACCGCAAGTGGCCAGAGTGGCCGAGGTGGGGGAGATGGCTCCACATCTTCAGGAACAAGAGCCAGCCAGGCCTCCCAGGCTGACCTGGCCTACCCGCCGTCCCTGGCAGAGACAGGACCTTGGGGGCCCTGCGAGGCAGGCAGGGGATGCTGTGCACCGAGCCCTTTGGACCCAGGGCCGGCCCCACCCCGTGCACTCACGATGCAGCTGTACTCTTCGTCATCCATCTCCTTCACCTTCAGGCAGTACGACTGTGGGGACAGGAGAGGCTGGCCCTGAAGTGCCCCGCTCCCCCCATGCCACACAGCCCCGAAGCCACCCAGGGGAGCAGCCATGCCGCGCCTCCCGGGCCCTGCAGACCCCTGGCTGGGCGGAGGGGAGGCCCATCGGAGAGGACAGTGGTGCCCAGGAGTGCGGAGGCCTGAGCTCCTCACGCACACTGGTGCTTGCTCGGGGTGGCCGGGGGGCAGCAGACAGGGCAGGACGCTCACTGGGGAGGGCGGAAGGGCCTGAGAGGCAGCCCCCCTTTACCAAACTCAAGGCCTGAGAGATGCTCTGGGAAAACAGGTCCCCTGGTCCCAGTCGCAGTTGCGACTCCACTGCGAGGGGCCTGTGGAAGGCGCGCAGGCGTCCAGCTGCAGAGGGCGCGCCCCTGCTCCAGGGGGCGTGGCCACCACCCCTTCCACCGCAGACGGTCACTCACACAGAAGACTCACCGACGTCCCTCCACTCCCACCGTGTAACCACTGACCGAGTCTAACCCCTCAGTAAAGTGACCCCAAAATCCCAAGGGGTCAGAGGTCCACACTGAGGGCTCTGCCACCACAGATTCCTGGCACTGCCCCAGCCCAGGGCCCGCACCCTCCCTCGGACTCTGGCCGGCTCTGGGTGGGCTCTCACCCTGCAGCCAGAGCGGCTCCCCACTCACAGACCACTCACCAGGTACTCGAACTTCACGTCCAGGTACTTCTTGATGGTGAGGCGCGTGTCGGGGATGGCTTTGTGGAGGTACGTGTTCAGGTCTGTCAGCATCTGGGGGGGACAGGGGCGCATGCTGAGGCCCCCACAGGCAGGGGCCCAGCTGGCCGTAATGACAAAGAGCGGCTCCGCCGTGTGTCTCCTAGTGGACTCTAACCGCCAGAGCCCACGGGCGCCCCCAGTGGTCTTGTTCATTACAAAGAGGCCAGGACGGACCAGGCCCCGGGCAGCCTGGGACTCAGGGCCACAAACCCCTGGAGGTCAGCGCTAGGCCATGTGCTCCAACTCCAGGACAGGACCCTTCCTCGTGACACACGGTCCCCGCCCGACCCTCCCACGCCGACACACGGGTGCTCCACCGGACGGACCGGCTTGATGGTCTTCAGCAGCCGGATGCCAAACTTCTCGATGCTGCGGTGAGCGTCAGCAAACTTCACGAAAGCCTCGCTCGCGGCCGGCTGCGGCTCCCGCACCCCGATCACGGAGAACACGTCCCCGAAGGCTGCGAGACAAGTTCACCCTGAAGGCTGCCCCTCCCTGGCCCTTGTGGTGGTGGGGGGTTGTGGGGGAGGCCAGGGGGCACAGCAGGATGAAGGCCGAGCTGTGCGCGGGGTCAACACCAAACAGGAGATGGGTGTATGCCACGCGGGAGCTGGTCAGCACCCCTAGAGGGTCAGAGGGAGCTGGGTCTGCACCACTCAGGAAGCGTGGTCGGTACCCCAAGGTACCCTAAGCTTGCCCTCCATCTCCCGAGGGACCAGGCCACTAAGCCAGGCCGGGGGGACAGTGGTGCCACCTGAGGGCAGAGCTCTGCTCTGGGGCCTGAACACCCAGGTCCTAAGCCGGCTCTGCCCCTTAGGAGCTGTGTGACCCTTTCCTGTGCCCTGGCTTCCCTTTCCCACCAGGAAAATGGGGTGGGTGGCAGTTGCTCCCGGAAGGCCAGACAGTCTGGACTCTCCCTGCTGGCACCAACCTGGCCTCCTTCAGCGCCTGGACAAGGCCCCGCCCAGAGCTGCGGGAGGTTGGACACGCAGCCCCTGGTGCTGCCCAGCCCCTCGGCCACACCCGAGGGGGGAGGGGTTTGCCTGAGGTCACATGGCCAGTTCACGGGGCGCCCTTACCCCGGTGCGTCTGCGACAGCTCATAAAAGGCCCGAAGAAGGTTCTTGGTGTGCTCTGTCATCCCTGGGGAGAGACCACACCAAGGGGTGGGGCATGTGGTGGCCCCCCCCCAGGGCCCAGGACACGCCCCCAACCCTCCACTACACCCAGTCCCTGTGCTCACTGACTTTCCCATTGTGCCCCCAGGCCCAGGGGTACACGCACAGCCCTGGCCAGGAAGAGCCTGGTCATGAAGAGCCAGGGCCCCACGGGGGTGGGAGGCAGACCGGCCCCCTGCAGACTCTGCCTGGGGGGAGCACCCGTCCTGGGGACTTCCCTACGTCTACACACACTCTTACTTGAATTTTTGTGGGTATGCATTACATTTATAATCCAAAAATGTATGTCTTTAAGACTTTTAAAAAAGAATTCTTAACAGCCATGGCCCTGGAATTTGGTAGGCTGGCATCCCTGCCCCCACTGCAGCCTCTCCAGGACACAGCCAGCGGGGCCCACACACAATGGGGGGGTTGCTGCCCACCTTTGTAGAGCTCCGCTGTGCGCTCCAGCTCCTCCAGTCTCTTGACGAGCCCGTCTGTGGGGATCAGAGGGGGGGTGTCAGCCCATTTCTGCTCTCTGGTCTCTGTGAGCCAGGGGTGGGGAGAGACAGCAGGGGGCCTGGGCCAGGCCTGAGGGCAGAGGACCCCAGAGGACAAACAGGATCTGTAGGGAGCAGAGCAGGATCCATGGAGGGGGACTGGGCCCCGCAAGGGCTGCTGGGCTCAGAGGGTTTCATAAATGGCCCAAAACACCCAGGTGAGAGGCAGGGCGGCCTCCAGCACCCCCGAGACAAGCCCCAACCCAGAAGCCTGGGGTGCATCAAAGGGGCCAATGCAGGGACTTCCTAAAGTCACCTGTGAAAAATGGTTGGGGTGACTCCCCCTGGCCAGCCTCGAAGCCAAGGCCCCCACAGGCTAACCCAAGCCCTGCCCAGAGACAAGGGGGAAGGCGGTCAGGGACAGAGGCTGAGACGAGACGGCACGGCTCCCGGCACGGAGAAGCGAACATGCTAGCTCAGAGGGGCAGTGACGGGGGGAGGGGGACATTCTAGAAGGGCTCTGAGGAGGAGCCTGCACTGGACGGGGCCCAGGTGACCGTTCACTGAGCGGGTGTCCATCAAGCACCACTGAGCGCAGGCCCACGTTAGGCCCCAGGGAATGGCCGGGTGAGTGGGGTCCTACACGTGCCCTGGAGGCTCAGAGTCGAGCAGCAGGACCAGGCAGTGGCTGCCCACGCCTAGCGGGCAGTAAGGGCTGTAAAGTGAGGGGGGCAAGTGGACTGCCAGGGCTGAGGCGGGCCTTTCGCATTAGAGAGGGGCCAGCCCGGAGCTACCAGCCAGGCCCAGGGCCATGGCAGCGAGGAGCTGAAGCAGTAGAGCTTCCCCTGTGGCGAGCACATGCCCTCCACTCCGACTCCGACGGGATACGCCGCACCACCCCGCCGGAAGCAGCAGCAGCAACTGCAGGCCTGGGGCCTGTGTGTGCAGCTCCCATGCCCGGCCATCCCCAGCCAGGTCTGGCCTTCCCACATTCCTGTCCTGAGCCAGGTCCTCCAGGCTCCCTCCACACCTTTCAGTCCTTCCTCCACATGAGCCTTTGGGGGAGAGCGACTTCCCTTGTTTTATAAAAAACAACCAGGGACAGAGCAAAAAGGCAACTTGATCACAGGCACACAGCAGGGCTGTCAGAGCTGGGGTGCTTTGCCCCCAGTCTCCAGTGGGGACCCAGCAGAGGGGAGGAAGGGAGGAGCAGAGGCCGAGGCTGGGTCTTCCTCTGGACAGGGGAGGCCACCTTGTGGGAGGCTGTGGGGGGAGGAAGGCTTGGGCTCCGGGAAGGAAGGGGGCACCGTGGAGGTCCTGGTGAGGCCGAGGCCACCAGCTGGCCTCCAGGCGCTGGCCGCTCAGTGGTCTGGCGCCTGGCCAGCCCGGCAGGGTGGGAGCCACATAAGCAGCCTGCTGCTGCTTTTAGCAGGGTCACGGGACATCATGCCAGCTTCAGTTTTAGAAACTCTATTTAAGGCCAGGGAAATTGCAAGGTTTGGGGGGAAAAACACAACAACCGGTTCTAATTTCATCTCAACGCATGGTAACTACAGTAACAGGGATTTATAGACACCAAGAGGCCGAAAATAGCAGCCTCCATTTTTGAACGCCATTTGGAAGGAGCTCAGACCCCACCCCCACATCCCAGCCAATGAAGCCCAGTGCGCCCCGCCACGCCTACAATTTATGGAGGAATTTACATCTGCCCCCCACGCTCAGCAGGGCTGCTGCTGTTTATAGACGCAAGCTGCTGAAGGCGGGAGCGGGGCCAAGTGCTTCACTGGCCACCCTGGGGGGAGAGAGTGCACAGGCATGCGTGGGTGTGAGCGCGCGCACCCGGCAGGCCCTCTCCCTCCAGGCAGCCACCTCCACCCCAACAGCTGAAAGGAGGGCAGCAGCGCCACCTCCTGGAGGAAGGCAGCAACGAAGCTGGAGGCAGTGCAGGAGTCGCAGGAACGCTAGTGCAACAGGGAGAGAGGAGGGCGCGCGGTGGCACTGGGGCTGGGCTGAGCCTGGTTAGGAGAGCAGTGGGCCACAGTGGTGAAGGCAGCAGCTTGGGGAGTCGGAAGGAGGCACCTCCCACCACTGTGGGTCCATCTCCCTGTCTGTGACCTGCATCTGTGAATCTTGGCCTGGAGGTGGGGGACACTCAACTGACCACTGTAGACGCCTTGTGGGAGCTGGAGAGGCCTCCAGGGATTCAAAGAGATGGTGACCATAGGGCCAGGTCAGAGGGACCCACAATGGCTTTGTTGGACAGGTAGTGCCCTTCGCCCTGGGAGCCTGGGTCTGAGACTCCCAGCCAGGGCCGGAGGAGGAAGGGACTCACCATTGCACAGGATGGCCCGGCTCAGGCCCAGGGCATCTGCAGTCCCCGAACTCATGTTCTCCACCAGCCGATGCTTCACCTTCTTCAACACTGGGACCAGGTAAGAGAGGGGCTTGGTGAGGTGGCATCTGCAGCAGGCCCCCGGGCCACCCCTGCCCCACCTCATCAGGACACACTGGGGCGACTATGCCATGGCAGGGTCCCCATGGGGGGTACTGTGCCCTGCCCCAGTCACACTCAGGGGCCTTTGAGAGCCTGGCAGGGGGTCGCCTCACAAAGTGCTTAGCCCAGGGCCCAGGCCTCCAAGCAGCGGCTCAGCGTGGACAGCCTGGATGCCACAGCCTTGACCGAGCTGCAGGGAAGTCAAAGGGACGACCCTCCCCCCACCTCCACGTCCAGACTCAAGTGTCCCAAGGGGAGGCACCATCGATGACAGTGGACCCTGGACCTGAGACTCGGTCACTGTACACACAGTTGCATACTCAGCCCTCCGCCCAGGGCCAGGGCAGGCACAAAAAGTTTGAGAGGAAGCACGCGGGACAGACTCAATCTGCCCTTGGCCCCTTTCCTTAAAAAACTGGGAGGTGGGTCTGGCCCCGGGGTACAGGGAGAGGGCGCCAGACTGGAGCCCAGAGATCTGGGTGCGCATTCTCCCAGGGGACACAGCGCCCTCTAGGGGTTGCAGGCCTTGATCTGCAATGAGGGGCTGGCCCAGAGGACCTGGCCTGCCGTGCACTCTGGATCTGGGAGTGTCTAGAGAACCAGCCCCACCGCAGAAGCCACCCTGTCTTGGGCATGCTGGGCAGGGGAGCTGGCCCGAGCTGGAGTGGGGGTGTGCAGGGGCCCTTGAGGCACCAGGCGAGGGTTGGGGCGCCCTCCCCATCGGCAGGATGAGCACCCTCCCCATCAGTAGGATGAGGACTGTCCTTCACGAGTGCCCATAAAGGACAGCCCTGGGGCAGCAAAGTCCCAGAGGAGGTGGTCTCCCAGCCCCGGGGCCTGGCACAGTCAGAAAGTTAGAGCGTGACCACCTAACTGCTGACGCGGTGTCACAAAGGGGCCCCGGACGCCGCTGCTCCAGCCCGACTTACCGATGTCCAGGGACATGCCCTGCTTGGGGTCCGCCTGCAGCTTGTTGTAGTGGATGGTCACCTCCCCCTGGAAGAGCAGGGTGGACAGGACTGAAGAGGGGCCTCTGGAACCTTCCCCAGGGAGGCCCGAGGCCCCACAACCTGTGGTCACGAGGGGACCCCGAACCCGGCCCTGCCAGACCTCAGGCCGTGACAGGCCCTGCGCTGAGAGTGCCCTACTCCCAGGTCCCTCCCTCTCCATCTCCCAGGCCCTGGGGAATCGGCAGGGACAAGGACAGACAGGTGGTCCTTGCAGCCGGGTGGCTGCCCACGTGCTGTGCTCCAGCAAGATCAGGCACACTCCCACCTTCGCTGCGCTGTCTGCCCCCCAGCGGAGGACCCTCCCCCTTGTTCTGAGCGTGCCCGCCTTTGAGAGCCTGGCAGGGGGTACCCACCGAGCCTGATGCCCTTCTCCAAGCCTGATGCTGGGATACCCGCCGAGGAGCAGCGCAGGGGCCGGGCCCAGGACCCAGCCGCAGGGTAGGCCACCGTGGCCACTCCCACCCTCACAACCCTAACGCCTTTCAACACAGGACAGAGCCCCCCAAATACAAGACAGTGTTTCAGAATTGGGTCATGAAGGGAAATCACACTGGCCCGAAGTGGTGAGACCAGGGGTGGTGCGCCAGGCTCCCCAAGAGCACGGCCCGTGTGCTGGGGCCACCACAGGTGGCAAGGGGGGGCACCACAGCGAGAGTCAGCCCAGGGTGCCGACCCACTGGGCGACCCCAAGAAAATCCCTTTTTCCCTCAGGGCACCCACACAAGAGCTGGGAGATCCTTGAGTTCATACTGAGGCTGGGAACATGCATGAGGGGCTCCGGTCCCCGCAGAAACGTGAGGGGCTAGTGGGAGGCAGGACGAGGAGGGTCCTGGTGAGGAGCCACGGTGGGAGGGGTGAGGGGAGGACCCAGAAGGGCACATACACCCCCAATTGTAAACCAGAAGGAAACATCACCCCCATTTCCCACGATGAGCTCCCTGGCCCAGCAGGTAATGCCTGGGACAGTCAAGTCCAGACCAGGGGGAGCAGCAGCTGGGCTCTGAATCAACTTGTCACTTCCTCTTGTGCAACGGGGCCCTGAACCCCAGCCCCAGCTCCCACCTGTCCCTTGGCTACAGGGGCTGAAGTAGGAGAAAGGACGGGGTTGGACTCTCTGCCCTGAAGGCAGGAGGAAGGAGAACGGTGGGGTAGAGCAGAGTGAGGGGAGAAGGCAAGAAAGGGGGCCTGGCAGGAATGTTGGCACCAGGCCCCTAAGGCATGGAGGATGGGGGGGAGGGAGGAACGGTTTGGACGGAGGGGCAAAGGGAGCTCAAACACTCGGCTGGGCTCGGTTTGCAGCTGGAACCCTTAACTACTGGAGCCAGACTGGAGTCACCCCATCTTCGAAGTCGCCCCGTGGCTTTACGGCTCCTTCACTGTGTCAGTTCCCCAGAGTCACTAGCAGCAGATCTCCGGGAAATGGCAGAAGGGCTACTACGTCCTAGCGCATGCAGGCGCCGGGATGCCCCCGCTGTTCGGGAGACGTCTCCTGAAGCCTGGAGCCGCTGTGGGGAGGGGTGGGGGGTGCAGAGCAGGGAACTGGCGGCCGACTACCGTCCACGGAAAAGAAGACCAAGACCGGCACCTGGACCGGAGCTGCCCCAGAGCCAAGAGGAGTCCAGGGGGTCTGCCAGCCCGGGCGGGCCCATGGCAATGAAAGCGCCTACGGGAAAGGGCCAGGGAGCCTTCTCTTTCCCAGGCCTACCACCGCTCAGTGACATCGCCTGGGTGTCTGTGACCCAGGTGTCTGTTTCCCTCTGGTTTAGAACTGGGGTGTGTGTGCGCCCTTCTGGGTCCTCCGCTCACCCCTCCCCCACTGTGGCTCCTCACCAGGACCCTCCTCATCCTGCCTCGCACCAGCCCCTCATGTTTCCGTGGGAACGGGAGCCCCTCCTGCATGTTCCCAGCCTCAACATGAACATGGGGCTCTCCCAGCTCTTGTGTGGGTGCTTGGAGGGAGGAAGGGATTTACTTAGCATTGCCCAGCAAGGGGGGGGGCCAGCACCCCGGGCTACTCCTGCTGTGGTGCTCCCCCCTCGCGACCTTGGACTTCAAACTTCAACTCCAGCCCTGACTGGGGACACACTGGCTCACCCTGAAGCTCAGTTCTGACTGGCCTCCAGGAGCTCAAGGACAGGGCACTTTCAGCTCCTGGTGCCCGCCCCCTTGCCGAGGCCCACACGAGTCCTGGAGCACAGCTGGTGCTGCCTGGCCGGACACAGGAGGAACTAAGGGAGGCTGGGGCGAGGCCCCGACCCTGACGCTCCCAGGACAGCGGCAGGCAGGGCCAGGCCCCTCCAGGCCTGCTGGGGCCTCAGAAGCAGCTTTGCTGGCTCAGGGCGCCTGCACCTGCAGCTGCCCTTACCTTCACTTCCTGAATCATCTTGGCCACCTCCACCTTGGTTTTCCCTTTGATCGACCTGCCATTGACACCGGTGATCTCATCGCCAGCTGCCACAGTGCCATCCAGGGCCGCTGGGGTGTTGTCAAATACCTGGGGGTGCACAAGGAGGGTGGGGTGGGGAGAAATGGGAAGACAGCTGGTGAGACAGTCATGCCCGTCACCCAACCAACACCTGGCCCCGTCCTGGCCTCTGTCCTCCGGTCTCTTAAGTGGGGCTAGAGAAAAACAGGGCAGACGTGCCTGAACAAAAGGCCCCCACGTTCTGGGGGCAAGAGGTGAATGCAAGCAATGACCCTTGCCCTTCCTGATGCCGAACCCACCAGACCGTACACACTCGTCTGAGCGTCTGCTCCTCCCAAGTCATGTCTGTGGCAGATTTTTCTAACAATGCTGCTCCGAGCTGACCGACATTGATTTAGCCAAAAAGTTACTGAATCACTACGCTGCGCAGATGGAGTGAGAGGAGGCAGAGTGGTTTTGGAGGAGGCAGGCTAAGAGGCACAGGGTGAAGAGGCCTGGGAGGCCTGGGGAGGGCGGCCTCGCTGACACCTCCCGGACGGGAAGGGGCCAAATCGCTCAAGAAGGCAACACGGTGCTCAGCAAGACTAGGTCCCGGGAATCTCCGTCTTCAAGGCCTAGAAGTGACTCCTCTGCAAGATCCTCAGAGACCACACTTTCCCATCTGCCACCGATGTCTACTCAGCCAACAGAACAGGCTAGAACAGGGTAGAATCCAGGTCAAGTTTATGTCCAAGGTGTCAAGGCTCCTTCCAAGTCTACAGAAAGGTCGCTGCCACTCCTGAGTCACAGGTAACAGAACACGAGGCTGCTCCCTCTACAAGGGACAGCAGAATTGCTCATTACCACTGGCAGATCATCTGGGGAAGTGAACAACTGCCATTAAAACAGTAGCAGTGCCCTGGCTGGTGTGGCTTAGTCGGTGGGGCACTGTCCCGCAAACCAAAAGGTCACCTGTTCATTTCCTGGTCAGGGCACATGCTGGGATGTGGGTCAGGTCCCCAGTTTGGGGCGTGAAAGAGGAAACCAACTGATGTTTCCCCTCCTCTTTCTCCCTCCCTTCCCTTCTCTCTCTCTCTCAAAAAAAAAAAAAAAAATATATATATATATATATATACATATAAACACACACACCCTTTAAAAAAACCGCAGCAGCAACTACTTTGTGAAGACCTCTTCTGCGCCAAGCATCACACCATGCAATTTCATTTAACCTTCACCTTCACAACAACCAAAGATGCTCATCTTCACATACTTCATATCCCCACTTTCCAGGTGAGGAAACTGAGGTCCTGGGAGGTGAACCAACTTGCTAATAACCAGGAAAGTTGCATATAAACTCAGGCTAATGTCATTTCCTAGTCTTTCAGCCCTGCCCAGCACCAAAGGCTGCAGGTTTTCGGGCTCATTAAAGACATTGATGGAAGGCCCTCCACGTCCGGCATCTCCCCAGGTGCTGACTGCTGGGCAAAGCCGGCAGGGCCCTTCCCTCACAGCACAAGGAGTCTGGAAGGCAGCTAGGCACTCGACAACTAAGACAGTGACAAGTACTGAGAAGGAAGAGAAGAGACTGAAGTATCGGAAGAGAACAAGGGGGGACCTACTTGTGGGGGCATCAGGAAGGACTCTCCTAGGAGGTCAGACCTCAAGAACAAGAAGGAGCTCCACAGAGGAGAGGAGGGAACCTGCCTGCGTGATGCCCACGTAGGGAGGGGGCTCGTCCCCTCGAGGGCCTCGCCCGCAGCCCCGAAGCACCCAATACCTGGACAATATAGAGGCAGGGGCAGTACTGGGCCCCGCCTCCAATGCTGATCCCGATCAGGTTCTGAGCGTCCTTCTGCAGGGTCACCTTCCCCGGCACAGTTGGGATTCCGCTACAAAGAGACGCACATGAGGCTGAGTTTCCTGGAGGAAGGGAGACTGAAGGGGACAGGGAAGGGGACAGGCCTCGGATGCTGCACAGCCCTCCCTTCCACATTTGGCCAGAGAGACAGCATTTGGTGCTGAAATGCATGCAGCTCTCAAAGTCATGCGACTACATCCCGGCTCTGCCACTAATCGGTTACAGGCTTGGGTGAGCTACCCCCTCTGCACCTCATCGCTGAAATAGTGCAGATAAAATGGCTACTTTATCCAAGTTCTTGTAAGAAAGTGCATGGGAAGTATTTAACACCAAGCCAGGCCATAGCAAGCACGCCATAAAAACAGGTCCCCCTTCTCTTGGCTTCATTCTACCTCTGAGGTTTGAGTAGGATGTCACCTTGTCAGGTATGTATGGAATGTTAAGATCACCTCCTCTGGGAAGCCTTCCCCTGTTAAACGACCCATCACCCATCTCTTAGCTGCTCTACTAAATTACCTCTCAGTTTTCACTATAAATTAGCACATACTTACGTTTCGTGTAAATGTTCTCACTTACGCACTCACTCCCTCAACAGCAAATACGGACTAACAACAACCTCCTGACATCGTGGCGCACCTGACGAAGTGCCAGACACAGAAAGGCGCCAGACCAGGTGTCCTTACTCCAAGGCAGGGAAGAGTCTAATAAGGAGACTACCTTAACTCTTGAAAACCTGTCCCACAAATTGTCTACACTGGGGAGGGTGGTGCGCTTATGATCTTCCTATTCATCCTTCTGAACCTGGCTCAGCTGCCACCTCCTCAGTGAAGCCTTCCCTGAACACCCCACTCCACCTGCTCTGCTCTCCTGGTGGCCAGGTCTCTCTCCATTAGGACCCTTATGGGGGATTGTAATGATCTGTTATTGTGTCCACAGCCCCCTACAGAGGTGAGCTCCAGGAAGGGCAGGGTCCCTTCTGCTACAGTACAAGACCAAGACCTGATCCACTGTGGAAAAGCAAGGGTCGTGCAACTGGGGAGCAAGGGGACCCGGGGGGCCTGGGGCACCTGCACTTTTGGGAGTTGGGAGAATGAAATACTCACAGTTTATCCTCTTCGATGTCATAGTCCAAGTCTGCAAACATGGTTCCGAGAGCTGAGGTGGGCCAGCTAACTGCTCAGCTCGCCGGGGGGGCAGGGAACTGGATCCGGGAGAGAAAGGAGCGGAAGGGCTTAGGGGAACTGATGTGCCTACCTGCCAACTCCAACCCTGGCCTTGCCGGCCCTCCCCCTTCCCTCTGGACGGTGGCGGGGCGTCCCGACGGGTGGATAGGTGATTATTCTTACTAGGTAAGAGGTGGGGAGGAGCTGGGGGGGAGGGGACTCCAGACCAAGGCGGTAGGCTCAGATCCCAGAGCCCGTCCCACAGGTCTCCAAGCCCTGAGGTTGTGCCTCTGTCGCTCACCGGAAGCGTCGGTCCCACAGTCGGGTCCGGGCCAGGCTGGCACCTGAACCCACCTGCCGTTCCACCTGTCGGCGGCCGCGACTGTGGCGTCACTTCCGGTAGGACGCAAAAGACACGCCCTCCCCCTGCGGGTATTTGCCCCAATACCTGCAGACAACACTTCCCTTTCTGGCTCCCCGGGCTCCCAGAACCAGGAAAGAGAACAAGAATTGACGGAAGCTCGCCATCGGCATTAGAAAGCGGAAACAGAGAAAAGATCTGGACAGGCCGACAGCGCTCAACCCCTCCCCTTGTCCTGTGGCCGCCGCCATCTTGGTGAGGGCAGGCTTCTTCCCAGCTTCCTCAGCGAGGCGCCGGGGACCACGCCGGTCGGGCGGTTGCCGTGGCAACGGGAGCATCCTTGGGTGCTCGGTGAAGCCCGATGACTTACAAATCCTTTCCCACTTTCCGTACCCTGTCCTAGGGTGCTATGCCTCCTCTACTAGAAAGACAGGGTTCGAGCCAGCCTGCCTAATCCCAGTTTTGCAAACCAGGAAACTTAAGTGCCAAAGAGAGGAAGAGACAGGGTCCACAGCCACCCAAACAAGGTTTGGTGTAAGATCCAGATCTTTGAGACTGCGACCTTGCCAGTGCCCTTTATACACCTGCACACTTGTGTCCAGTGGATTTGTTTTTGACAAGTCGGGCAGGTTACTCTCCCTTCCCTTTATGAACCTCCCTTCTTTCCAGTTTGCATGCAGACTGGAAAAGCATCGAGGCAGATGTTCTCTACTGTACTTGGTGAAAGCTTCCTCACACCCGTCTCCTTTGTTAGCCCTGAGAAGCAGCTCTCCTGGAGTCCCACTGAGGGTCAGGAAATGCCATCTGTGCTTCCCAGCCAATCTCATCTTCCCACATGCTCTGCTGCTGGGACTGTTGTGTAAGGTGGATTCCCTGGATGCCCTGGCGTCCACCTCACCCCGGCAGCCTGGGCCCAGGCCTGTCCACCTTCCTTCCCTAGCTGCCCCCAAGGGCTTTGGAGGGAGGACAGATGCAGAAAGATAATTATCAGAAGATTTCATGGACTGATGGGAGCCCACCCACGGGAGCCCACCCACCCCCTCCTCAGGGAGCTAATCTGAGCCTCGGCAGATGTGCAGAATGCACAGTCGTAACAACCTTCTCCCGTCCCCACTGCTCTGCTGCTCAGGTCACTTTCACAGGATTTTGAAGTTCACCGTGACCCTGTCTCTCCTCCACCTGTGCCGACTTTATAATGCCTCCCATAGGATGCTAGGAATTTATCAACAGGTGTCATTGCAACAAACAAGAAAAAGAAAATCAAGTTGCTTTGTCGTGCCCATTAGAATGAAAATGTTAGGGCCCACTCTATATTCATCAGTGCAGGGGTCTCCTGTCCCAGCCAATTAAGGGGGTGAGGTTGCAGCCATGAGTTTATTTGAGGGGAAAGAAAGTTGGAGCACTTTGTTCCATCACCCAAGTGAGGATTTCTTGTCTCCCAGTGGGATGGAAGCCCCTGGGGTAGGTCTTGCCCTTCATATCTCCCCCAGAACCTGGCACAATATCTGGCTGCAGATGAAGTGCATAGAAATAGCTGTAGCTTTATGGGCAGAGAGGGAATGAGGTGACGAGAACCTGATTCTTGGGAAACCAGGGCCTTCAGTATAGGTCCTGAAGTTTGGAATTTTGATTCTCAGCAAACAGCGATTTCCAAACCTAGGAGCTTTAACATAGCCTGCAGCTCTGCCACCCCAGCTCTCGACCCCCAAGCAAGCTCAGGCAGTTTGTAGCTGGGGCATTTGGGGCAAATCACCCTCTGCCTCTGAGCCTTGGATATCCATAAAATGGGGATGTCCACCCCTCCCGAGGGTCAAGGTATGAAGATGCAGACTAAATGGGTGTAAAAGGATTTGTGAGTCCCTTGGCACAGATGCCAGAGGTGGTTATTGTCATTCCTCCTCCTCATCGTTTTCCAACTACTTCCAGGGGCAGGGCCAATGGCACACTGAAGGGGCCTTCACACCCTCACATCCTTGCACCAGACTCATCAGGGAAGTGTCTTATGTGCAGAGTCCTGGGCTGTGTCTCAGACCTGCTGGATCCGGGTCTCTGGGGAAGGGGGATCTTGAAGGCTGCATTTGCACAAAGCTCCTTGCATGGTTTCAGTGCCGGCTTCAATGACCCTCGGTGTCAGAGGCTCAGGGTCTGTGCAGAGTCTGTGCACACTCGGGTGGAAAACAGTCCCTGCCCCTGGGCTTCACCATGAGGAGGAGCCAAAGGCCAGGAAGGCTTCCTGGAGGAAGAATATTCAGCTGAGTCCTAAAGGAGGTGCTGGTGGTACCTAGGCCATGAAGAAGGGCAGGTGAGGCAGCCAGAGGGCAAGGTGGTACAGGTGGTGAGGGGTACAAGGTACAGTCCCTGTCCTCAGGGAATCACTGTGACAGTAGTGTGGGGGGAACAGATAGTGGGGTCAGTGACGGGGTAATGAGGTTACCATGCAAGTCCTAGTGGGGGCATGGGGAGAATGGCCACCTTTGCCACAGGTGAGAGGGGTCACAGGTGAGAGGGGTCAACGAGAGCCTCAGAGGGAGGTGTGAGCACCTTTTTCAAAACGAGTCAAATTCTAGGGGCTGAAATTTGGGCGGGAACATCCACCCACTTCTAGGAGGCTGACCAGGGCTGGTCCTCAGACCCTTGCACTCCAAGCTTGCTGCTCCTCCTCCTCCCCTGCTGTGTCCCTGAGTCTGTCCAGGCAGGCAGGCGTCCTTCACCTGGCCTGGCCCTGCCACTGAAAACTCTGTGACCCTGGGCAAGTCCCAACCCCTCTCTGGGCCTGGGTTCCCTCCGTGGCTCCTCCCTCAGTTTCTGAGCCTCAGATTCAACTGGAAAAGCTTAACCCCCAACCCCATATTCCTGGGGACGTGCTGCCACCCAGTGGCCATTATGAGAAACACCAGGGGATACCGGAGCTACAGGAGTTCTCCCTGCTTTCTACTACTGTCCTGGTTACTGCCCTGCCCAGCTCAGGGGCTGGCTGGAGAGACACTTCCAAAGGAAGTGTCTGCACTGTGCTGGGTGTGCCTGCCATTCAGCGTAGCTGTGGCCCCAGCACAAGGCCTGACTCACTGCTGGCTTTGCAGCCCCTGTAAAGGTCAAGAAACCACGGGTCGGTGGGTGGAATTCAGCTCAACCATCCGCACAGAGATCAAGAGCGTGGGCTTTCTGGGCATCTGCTTTGTGCCAGGCCCCTTGCCGAGGTGCTTCTGTTCATTGTCACCCATGAACCTCGCCACAGCCCTTAGACGGGGACCAGTTGTTCACGCATTTATTCATTCAATAAATAGTGTCAAACACTCACTCTGTGCAGGCCATGAGAACCCACCAGAGAATGAGGCAAAACAAGGTCCGGCCCTGACATCGGTGGAAGAGGCAGGCAATGAACCTAAATAACACCTACTGCTTCAGAGCATCAGGTGGGACCCCAAATCTGAAGGGGAGCCCGGTGGGAGGAGGCACAACTGTGGACGTGTGGGGAGCAGGTGGTGGGCTGGACTCAAAGGCATCCGTGTGCCCACAGGAGCATCATTTGATGGCTCCGAGTCCTGGTCTCTGTGGCTAACCATGGCTGCCGTGGAGGTCAATGATGGTTTTCAAGTTAAGTCAGACCAAGACACCCCCTGCTCAGACTCCTCTGGGGTCTTCCCACCACAGCAACATCAGCTAAAGACCTGGACCCTGCTGCTCCTCCAGCACAGGGCCCACCCCTCGTCCCCCTGCACATGCTGTCCCAGGCCTCTGGCCTCTGGGACACGTCCTGGAGTCTCCGCCTCAGGGCCTTTGCAGCTCCCTTTGCCTGCAGTGTTCTTCCCCCAGGTCTGCTCATGCCCTCACGTCACCTTAGGGAAGCGCTCCTGGGCACCCAGCTCAAGTACGGCCCTGGCTCCTCTCTTTCAGGCACCCGCTCACTGCGAGGGGCTCACAGCACAGTTTGGGAGTTCCCATTTGTTTGCTTGTTAACCAGCTTCACATCTGTCTCCCTACCAGACTGCGAGTTCCCCGGGGGGCAGGATCCTGGGGGGGACCACTGTCACGATGCAGCACAGTGCATGCAGGAGCAGGTGGTGGATTTCTATGAAAGAACAAATGCCTGTCGCTGGGAGCAGAGGCCCTGGACAGCCACAGGAGACTAGTGGAGGGGCCGGAGCAGGCAGAGCAGCACACTGGCTGCAGTCACAGGGCAGGTGGGAGTGGAGGGCATTGTCTCCCCCTCCCCAAGTCTGGGGGAGTAGGGACGGGGCTGTGCAACTGGGAAGCGGGCTGGGAAGGGGGAAGGGAGGAGCTCTGGCTGGGTGGGCTAGCCTTGGGGACCATGGTCGGTGGGGCCAGGCTTCCTAGGGACAGAGAAGTGGTTCCCACTAACTCCAGCCAGGGAACTAGTGTTGCTTGGAGGCATTTGCATCTTTCCAGAAGCCCACTGCCAGCTTTGATGGAGGCATGGACCCATGGCCCTTTGGGTGCAGGGCAGGCCGCGCTCCCCTCTCTTCTCAACTGCCTCTGGGGCTGCCTCTGACCAGAGGTGAGATGTGGGCTTCCATGGGGCCCCTGGTCCCCCCACCCACCTCCAAAGAAGCTCTATTCCTGGCTTTGCTTGGCATGTAATGGGCTGACCCCTGACCTCACCTCCCCCTCGCCTGGTGCTCTGCCCTGGGTTAGGTCAGTGATGAAAGCTGGTGGCAGCCTGGGGCGGGGGAGGTGGGAGGGAGAGGGACAGTGCCTGATTGTTCCAGAGTCTGGGGAGGAACCGGCTCGGCTCTCTCATTCTCTCTGTCCCTTTGCTGCTCTTACTGTCACTAACTGTTATCCTCCCTCTTTCTCTGTCTCTGTCAGGGATTCTCCAGCCCAAGTGGGACCTTAGTGACCAGGCAGGTGCCCGGGCACCCCAGAGATCAGGAACCCGACTCGCGGCTGGGAAGCCTGGAGGGACCCTGCGTTGGAAAGAGTCCGTTGCATTGGCAAGGACTGGAACTGGAAGACCCGGGGCCTCCCCGGCCCTCTCTGAGCCTCCTCCCGTGAGGGGTAGAGTCTGGGGATGCTGAGAGCCCAGCCAGCCCCGCAGGAAGTTACATGCGGCGCAGGC